CAGTCTGACCTGACAGAGCATTCGCTAGTATACCTTATGCTATAGCTAATCCAAGAAAGCTAGACCACACAGACGGGGGAGAGAGAGAGAGGGAGAGAGGGCCGCAGAGCCAGGGAGAGAAAGGAAAAAGGATCACGTACTCCCACGGAGACTGGGGCGGAAGGGGGGGGGGGCATCGACGGGCGGATAGACTCATCTGGGATCTTGCAAAGCTTTCAGATAGAGGGGACGGTTTCAGGTGCCAGGACTCCCCTTTTGTGCCCCGTGTTTGGACTGGCCATGACTGTAACTGCTAACTTGGAAGGTGCCAACTTGAGGAGGAGAAGGGGTGGCCAGGGAACAGATAAAAACCGAAAACAAATGGGAAAGTTGGCCCCGCACTCCAGCAGGTACGTTTATCAGGCTGTAACTTTATTCTGCCCAAGGAGAATCTTCTTATCTTAGCCCACAAGCGATCCCTGAAAGTACAAAGGGTACCACATGACAGCAGCCAGGCCCAGGAGGAGTAGTGTGTGCTTTTACACCCCCCGAAAGGCGTCCCACAGCACCATGCTCGCAGGGCAGGTATGGGACCACCGATGTGCGGCGGCAACCGCAGCTCAGAGAAAAGCCAATGAAATCGACTCACGTCCAACATGCTTCAGGCGCTGGCCCCCGCTTGTCCCTCAGTACACACTTACAGTGCATCAGATCCAGGCCAACACGCCACTGACGTGACCCCCACCTTCCTCAGTTCAGGGACAAGACCGATGATGCCACCGGGAGGCACGCCCCCATTCCAGCCGAAAGCCCCACCCCCTCCCACGTGCACATTTACATGCAGATAATACGTAAATAAAAACAAAGACTACACCTTAAAAATAAGAAAGAGCGCACCCGTTGTTTGTCTCTAAAAGCATGTCACTCAAAAATGACGCAGGCAGGCTTCTGGGGACGACGGGCGCGTCCCACCCGATGCCTACGGCTAAATGGCCTCTCTGACCTTCTCGCTGTCAGACTGCGTCGCAGCATTTCAATTTTGAAGGGACAGCAGTGAGCACATAGTGGCCAAAATAAATAAATATGGAAGTTACAGTGCGAGCTGAGCGTGTCCACACGACGGGCACCTTACTACTGATGTACTTTGTGTCTTTCCCCACTGATCTCCGGTGGAAAATTTCTCATTCGGGCAGAAAAAAAAACACATAGAGTCCCATGGAGCAAATCCTCCAACCCTCCTAACCTTTTTCCAGTGCCGCTGTGATTTCGTTTTTAGCTAGCCAGGCTTCTTACTCTGTCCCGCTCCGAGCAGGACCGTCCCGTTTAAGGAGAAAGCCGTTCTGAAAAGAACGCTGTACCAATAAATTTAGCGACAGGAAGCTACACTTGTCAAATCTATCAAACAGCAGTTGTCTGCGATGCAGAGACAATAACAAAGAGCCTTTGGTGGGATTTTGCACCGCTCAGCAAGACACGATTTAAATAACAGATTTAAAAACAAAAATAAAAATAACTAAATCGACCAAGGCTTTCTTTTGCTAACCACAATCCCTGTTTCCCGAATCAGAAAAACAACCCATTCGGTTGCCAGAACGAATCTAAAGCGTTATTAAAAGTTTAAGGCTACCAATTACTGCGTTTTTTTTCTCCCCCAAAGTAAACTATGGCATTACGTAAAAGGGGCTTGAAAAACTGAAAACTTCCTGCTGTCCTGATTAGATGAATTATACCACTAGTGAAGGTGTCTAGCCATCTAAACTTCCAATGGAATGTAGTAATATATTAGTTCATATCCCCCCCCCCCAAAAGAAAAACATTAACTATTTTGGAAAAAAAATAAACTAATAGAATGGTAAAAAAAAAAATGTAATTACTCATTTTCAGGGATTCATGATAAATAACAGTTATAATAAAAAACCAAACAAAAAACACACAAAAAAGAAAAGCAGATATTGCGCTAAAAAACATAAGGGCTTAAAAAGGAGCATATCACCATCAAAACATTCATACCCAGACTTCAAAAGATTATTATAAATAAAGGAAAAATGTCCTGGAGGGGGGAAAAAAAAAAACTTCACACAACTTTTTTTGCGAAATGTACACAGCGGACAGTAGTGTTCAAGGTCTAAAGGTTTTCACTGACAATTCAGTGTCTCACTCCTCACTCATAAAATACACTATAGAGTACATTCAGGGTAGCTACATTCAAATATTTATACAAAAGAAGGAAAAGCACTTTAAAAAAATCTGGACAGTCTAGTCGTTTCAATTGAAGACTAACACCAACACACATAAAAACAAATAAATAAAAGTTGTGCTTCAAAGTTTGAACCTTGGCTCAAATGCCATTATAATACAAATGTGCCCTATAGCAAGTACAGACACATTTTCTACATGACTTAAGAGACCAAAATAATTGCCTATCAACAGATATGAAGCAGAGCAGAGGCAGCAGCTACCCGCTGTAGGTTAGAGGCAGCAGCGAGGAACAAAGGCATTTAATGGCACCCAATGAGCAGCCATCACCACACAGCCTCCATTCTCGAAATTTTAGATGAAAATGTGCTCTTACCTTAACTCGCTGCGCTGGAGATGAACTCGCGCATATTTATGCAAGATGTCTGCTCAAAAGGCGCAGGTTTCACAGCAGAAGCCCAAAGCATACAAGACTTTCCCGGGGCCCAAAATGCATTTTTCTCAATTCATATCTTGTCATTTCAGAGACACACAGTCTTAATCCTGACATTGTAAGTGAACTCTTGGAGTGCCAAAAGTAAACACTTGGAACTGCTTTTGCGATTCACGTCGGCTACTTGATGGATCTGGTGTTAGGGACAAGTAAAGAGAGAGAGAGAAAGAGAGAGGGAGAGAGAGAGAGACTGGCCACACCGTGCCACTAAAAGTTACTCCAAAAGAAGTCGTGCAAACTCTTAAGCCACCTATAGCGAATTCACCCCCCCACACCCGCGCTGATGTCTACTGCCACCAAAATCCAAATTAACATGTCAGCCGTAAAAGTTCCAACCACACAGAGCTGATCTGCAGAGCAGCCATGAAGCTCTTCAGAAGCACTGCTTTAAGACTCTACCAAGTCACATTTATTCGCCAGCTCCAAACAGGTAGAGTTATTCCCTCGGACGAAATCATTTCTTTTCCTGCAAGGAGACAATAAAACAAACCACGACACAAAAGTTTAACTATTCTCGCTGTCCAAAAACACTCACTTTTAAAAAAAGTAACTTTCAAGAGATTCATTAGACTGGTTTGGCCTAATAGGATGGCAAAAAAAATAAGTTTGAGATTTCTACGGAGCATTACAGAAAACAACTGGAAATGTCATTCACACATAAGGCATGTTGTACTACACATTTGTTTTATAAATATAAAAAATTACAATAATTATTTCAAGATGAAAAATCCAAGTCTTTTGAAGTATATTGTTGATATATGAACAGGTAATGTTAATAGCTTTGACACTCAGAATTTTAACACCCTGATTTTAACACTGCTCCCAATCTCGCTTTGCTCAAATGATGCGCAGCGCCAGTTTGCCGCGGCCACGTCATTAACAAACTTTCACGGATAAAATTGGGTCTTTCATAGGCAAGAGGCCCTATCATTTCCAGACACTGTGTAGTAGATCTCACAGCTTACAGGAAATGCTGCAGCTCATCTACTGGAACCACCACGGGAATTTTGTATCAAAATAATCTGATATACAAAATAAAATAAAAAAAAGACACATAAGTGGGATGCCTGAAGAAAAATACACGATGACGGCGTCTACCAACACAAACCTCCCACCTATAAAAATACGTACAACAGGGATTTTTTTAAAGTAATTAAATGACTTTACTTCACACTATATTTTTATAGCATGGTAACATTTTATTGATAAGCCTAATCATTTCTTGAAATACGCATTTTAACTTCTTGTTATCAGTGTATAATTCTTACATTTTAACTAGGAAGCGCAGAACGCCATGTGGGTCTACTGGGGGAGCCCTGAAAAGCCTACTTCCCGACCCCCACTTTAAAATATAACACATAAAAACCCGACAGATACGTACATGTTAAAAGCTACATCTAATTACTCCCAAGGTACAAAAGCATTACCTACCAGAAAAAATTATATACACAGATATTAAACTACAAGTACTTCATGTTGCTTAGTCACGCTTTTTGAAACTTTTCTTCATCACAGTGCGCCGAAATGCCTGTCAGTTTTTATTAAAAGGGAGCAGTTGCACGGCCTAAACGTTTAAAGCATGCACTTTTATTCACTTTATAAACGCCATTTGGCTGTGCGCTCGTGCTCCCCGCGCCGCACCGAGGCTACAAACTGCCAACAAAGTTATTGATCGGACCCGTTAGTTTGCAAACTTTCCGAGGGCGACTGGACTTATAGTTGCCCATTTCGAGCTGATTGCACACGGATCGTTCACTGTTCCCCATGCACCGCGGTTAACATTAAACAAGCCTGGAGCACTTGGCGCTGCAGTATCCGGCAAAACGTAAATAATAGACAATGCGCCTCACAATGCAATCACACTTATACGTTTCTAATCGCATCTTCGTCCGTACTTGTCCCCCAGATCTCCGACAAAACGTCTAAAAACTTCTCCGAAGAAACAACGCAGCCTTGTTCCTGCTACTCTGCTCATAATGTCGTCCACAAAACTTCACGATTTCATAAAAAAATCCCGAATTTATTCATTAATTTAAAATAGAAAATAAAACTTTTAGCAGTTTTCGTCCCCCTTTTAAACCCAAGTATTTTTCGTATTTTTAACAAAGTCCCTCAACTGAAACGACGGCACAGAAATAAATACACGCTCCTTTGAAAGCCACCACGTCCACTTACACGTTTTGTATGTATTGCAACAATAATTTCATTACAAGCATCCGCAGTGTCCATCCATTATTTATCCGTTTAAATCTTTCAAGCGATTGCTTGACGGTAGCTTCAAAAGAAAAGGATTTAAGAAAAAGGGAAGGAAAAAAGTGAGCCACAAACCTACTGGAAATCATGTTTTTCTTCCTTGTCTCAGAACGTGACCCCTCGATTAAGGCTACCGCTTCTAGCGAGTAGCCAATATCAATTTCTCATGCATTTGACCCAACAAAACCTAAATGCCATGTGAAATCTGAGAAGCCCTGCTCTTTTTTTCATAGCAAAGTAGCTCACAACTGATTCACGAAAGCCCTTAGCTCTCCCAACATTACATAACATTAGCTACTAAAAGAGATCAGCATTCAGGAACTACTATAAATTCACATCACATTGTTTGCTGCCTTCCTCGTTACGTCCATTGATTCTCTTTCCTCTTACCTGTTGATTAAATTGCAATAGTCTTTGCAGTCTGAAAGATGGTGGAGCTTTGGCGTAAGCCATGAACCGTCTTTGTGTTGTTTGTTTGTTGATCTCAGGGTATTATTTCTTTTTTGTTAGAGGGGGATTAAAAATTTCGGATCTCTCCTATGCAAGTGAACTCGGGGTAACTGTGATTTAATATTAAAAACGCCAGTGTCTGGAAGGAAAAATAGAAGGTTAGTTTGCAGTGATCTCAGTTCTTTATCAGAAATGTTATCGCTTGTCAGGACCTCAGACTCCAAGCATTACGTCAGTTTCAAGACACCAACACTATTAATATCAAGAAGCCCTTGCAGAGGAAAGCGCCACCCCAGACTGAGCGCTCTTAAAGGGACAGGGGCCGCTGCAAGGCGCTCACTACGCTACAGGTTGATGATTCTGCACAGCACTGGTTACATATATCCAAAACAATAACAAAAACCAGTAACATAAATGAATGAAAAGAAAAATAGAAGAAGAAAAAAAACATTTTTCCCGATACGTTTGAACTCGTCATGATGTTATAAGTACATAGTTACTACTATAGCACCTAGTATGTAGTGTCTCATTTTCTCAACATATTTTTTATAAAATACATATAAAGTTTTGCGAGTTTTTTTTATGAGTAGCCTATATATTTGTTTCGTGTACCTAGGTGTAGCTTAAGTTGACAGTTCCTAGCTACACACGAGTATGTGAAAGTTACTAGTCATTTTCATTAATTGCAGCAAAGAACAAAAAAGTAATTAAAACGTATATGCAATGATTTATGATTACTGTACAGTTAACAACGTTACGCTGATTGGATGAGGCTGTTGAGAAAGGATGGCAGCATGTACAATTAACCGAAGGAAAAAGGGAGAGGTACGGATACAAGTCTTATTTTCAAACTGTCTTTTTGTTCTGTCACATCTCAAACTGACTTTTTTCCACTGTCGCTGAGAGACGAGTGGGTTTAACGAGATTGGCGGACTCTCTGAAGTAGTCGACGAATTAATGCATTAGTGACCTAAATGTGAAAGATGACCGCGCTTTTCCATACCCTGAAAAGTCCTTATAAAATGTAACTGTTTAGTATGAGTGCATCTTTTCCTGCCTTTCCTTAACCACATTAAAAAAAAACACTCGTGGAATACTCCCTATTTCCTATTTTCTGTATTCTTCGTATTCTCTAAGCTGTTATGAGTCATCATTCTACTGCAAGATGATCATACAATAACATCATATCTTGTGTGCTGTGCTTTGCTAATTAAGTTACGCTAATGAAGAAACACTGAAATATTTAAATAACTAAAACAACTATGGTATTCGTATAATGACGTTTAAGAAAATTATATTTTTAAATATAATGTAACATATGTTTATTTCTGAAGCATTTACAAATTCTATAGTTCTGTGCATCACTCATACTTTAAAAATAAATAGTTACAAATTATATACCGAAAGATTACATTATGTTACAATGTAACAGCATGTAAGAAGAAATAAATGAAAAGCAGCACTGAATTATGGGTTTATTTTATTATTCAATGTATATTTTACTGTTACTGATGTTTTACAGAGATGGATAAGGCCAAGCTTTTTAAATATTTGCCTTTAAGATAAAGTAGCTGATGTTGATGAGGGTGTGTGTGTGTGTGGGGGGGGGGGGTGAAACGGTTCGTCTGATTAATGTTGACGGTGTGTCTTAAAACTCCAAGAGACTAAGGGGCTACTTGACTGGCCTAGAGAAGCGGGCAGGAGGGATGGCGGCCTTGCGGGGGCGTGCCGGTCTGTGTGGGGGCCACACCTGCGGAACACCCACGGGCGCCTCCAGTGAGCTACGGTTTGAGTAATATCGCTCTCTCTGAGCATGTGTTTTCACTGGCAGTCTGTCAGGCTATATTTCAAAGCAATTTTTCATGCCTTTATAATACGAATCCTGCTGTAAAAGCTATGCAGATGGTTTCACTGTCGTATTCCAAATAATCCCCACGCAGAGCTCGGGACGAGCGTCCCAAGGGGGGCAACTAACACCATTATGTATATACCTATAACTTGTCCGACAATAAAGGCCCTTTATGCACCATAGTCACTAAAAAAATCCACTGTCACCTTCCAGCTGGAAGCTAGTGATCTTACCCTGAGTTTTGTTCCATTTCGCTTTTCTCAAGGAAGGCGAGCGCCCAAAAATCATCGCTACTCAAAGTTTTTTCTCCACCAATAATTATGCCGATGAGAAGCATCACTTGTCCAGTACTCAGAGACTGACAGTGGTAGTTATGGAAAGGCAAAGAAAGACCAAATCGCTTACTCAGTCACTACTCTGATCAACAGAACACCTCACTATTCACCCCCCTTGCAATTTCTATTCATTTTTACTACCAACATTTTAATTTTTACCAACAATTAAACAATTCATGCTATAGGAAACCATACCTGGAAAGTAGCATTCTAAGCATGTTAGTATAACTGCACAGAAGATCTGTATGCACTTTAAATTAAACAGTCCCAGCTTAAGCTGGCTGGACCGAAACAGCTGAATGTTTGCAACCACATCATAGTCATTTTCATAATATTGTTTGTATTATACACAAGTTTATCCAGTGTCTTGGTTTTATCTAAAGACTGACCATGACATAAGGTATGTGTTTGAGAGATTCCCTGTTGTGAACAGATGTTCAGTGCAAGTTTTATCATTCCAACCCAAATGGTTGTTATAAACACTTATGTAAACACCAGAACACTGCTACGGAAACACTACTTCATCAAATAAATGTAATTTATCTTTTTAACATTTGCTGAAAGTAATAGTAGTTTCCTTGAAAACAAATCCACACTTTGCTATCTCTCATATAACTGAATATTATTACGTTTAAAATTATTTAGTTATTAGTCTGTAAAATCACCCAGAATCACGAGACGATTAACGGATTGTGCAGACCAGTCTGAACAATCCAAACATGCAAAACTATTAAAAGTGAAAAAATCATATAAAACTGCAAATCCACAATATTTACAGCCAATATATGGTTGTTACTTCTTATCAATAGAAAGTTTAATAATTGCTGAATTTAACTAGTGTTGAAAAATTAGGGGGAATGTTTATGAAATCTTGCTACTGTGTTTTGTCATTTTGAACTGTGTTAAGAGGCATTCCTGACGCTACAGGACAGGTAACAAATGAGCAAATGCATTGTCTGGCATCAATTAACTATTTTGAGCATTTAAAGTATTTAATTCATGATATATATGAGTTATAATTACACTTAACTCCGCTATCTGTTGTGTTTATTTAATTTTTTTAACAACTTAGATTGTTTTGTTCTTTTGGTTATTAGGCTTAATTAGTCTAATTTTCCATGATGTTAAGAAGAAATGCCAGTCAGGTGCTCAATTTCATACAAATAAAAATATAAAAAATTACTATATTTGTTTAGTGTTGCATTTATATTTTCAGTTAAAGTTTTATTTCAGTCAAAGTTATAATATATTAAAGAATTATTAAACTGAGTTTCATTTTTATGAGTAGAATAATAAGTTTGAAAAGAAACGTGCGTGTTTGTGTATCCACACAAAAAACAGTTTAAGATGAAAATGAAAATGTACATATATATTAATGTGTTATATTAATCCTTCTATGACCAGATCATGGTGAGGCTATATATATATTTACTTCATATATGGTATTTACATTAGCATTGCCCAATTGTCTACAGTTGCTAATAGTGGACACTGCTCAGATTGAATAAGGCACATTTAATGGCCGTTGCTGTGTATAGGTGCAGTATGCACATACTTAAACTGCCTGGTCAGAATCTGGGGTGGTTTGCACAGACAAATGGAGACAGAATGACGGCTCAGTTAAAACAGAAGATGGAAAAAACTGGAGTGCCCCTCCCTTAACCGGCAGAAGAGTAACGTCTGAAAGGAGGCTGCTTTTATTTCATTGTACGTTAAACTTTTCCCGAGTTTTTCCCACTTTTTCCATTGTAGGAGATCCCTCACCATCTCCAGAAAAAGCTGTTCCGCGTGTGTATGTGTGTGTGTGACACTTTAAAGCCCATTTAAAAGATGGCCAGAGTTTATTCTGTGTACGATTGTACATTGTTTGCATTCAGACATATATCGTGGTTTCCCACATTATTAGATAAGCGGGTAAGTCTCACTTGGTAATACTACATCTTGCCAGAAGTTTCCCAAAAGTTTTCCATCTTTATTGCCAGTCTTGGGCCAGCATGTATTTATAAAAACCAGCCCTGCCCTCGATTCTAAGGAGCGTCCCTGAAAAACAAAGCGTACTTTATTTTGTCTTATTATTGATTGAGGTGCTGTGGAATTAGTACTCATTTTATTCCTTATTTACAGTCTCGAAGGTGACACCTGTCCAGACTCCCAATGTAACGTGATCTCCTCCATGTCATCTACTGTAGCACCAACTGAACCATACATACAGGTTTATGTCACATGGTCACACTGTAAGCAGTCGCCACCAGAAAACTGAATACTCAGCACTAACAGGATCCTTTGCTAATCAGATCTAACAGTTGCCATAAGGTTTCACTCAAAGCTCATTATTCATGCTACTTCCACAATGAAAGTATCCAGTCGTTTTGAAGGAGCATTGTAATGTAATGTGCGACATTGTGGCTCAGTGGGAAGTCCTGATGCTGCACTAACCCAGGGCTGGGCTTGAATCCTGCCTCTGTTCTGTGCGTGTAGCGTCTGCTTGCTCCCCCCGTGTTGAGATGTTTCCCTTCAATAATCTGGTTTCCACTATCGGTCCAAAGACATGTGGTTATATGATAAAATATAGGTGTCAGATTTAGGCTTTCCGATGCTCATGTTAGCAATTTGAGGTTCAGATTTGTCATCTGCCTGTTGACCGGAAGAATGTAACTGGCATCGTGCCCTCTGGGGAACTTAAGTCAGCCAGGATGCCATGGCTGGCCAGACTGCAAGCACTTCCCGTAGCCCTGA